AGTTTCGATATGTATGTTTTACACAAGCACTTTTGTTTCTTGCATGCTAGTAATTTGACTGAAAATCCGACGCAACTTGAAGGACGACAATTTAATAATAAGCTGGTTGCGGCGATGACAGGTTGTTAGCACATTGAGCAACGTTGCCATCTGAATAAATTACATTGTCCAAACCGACTATCCATAGATAATCAGAGGCGAACAAACTTAAAGCGGGGGAGTCATCACCTGCGCATGCGTCAGATGGCCATAGCGTGTTATTGTTTACAAATAAGCGTGTACCCATGAGCCTTTGCGTTTTTAGCGTGTATTGTTATGACCCTCCTCATTCTCCTTCCCAGAGTTCTTTGCGGTTAGATCACCGAAAGTATCTCTGCCACCACACACCGCCATTTTGTGGTGAAACACCACAAGACTTTTACTACGCGTGTCATTTGCGTATTTTTGTTATTAGATGGCTTTCGTGTTGATTTATTCCTACTTGAAAACAAGTTTTAAATTATTTCGTTGATAGCTGATAATGATTTTTTCGTAAACACACTGAAAACGGTGAAATAGTTATAATTTAAAAAAGAAAATAATTCCATCGCGGAATAACGGTTACTAAGGTGTTACTCGGTTCATCAAGCTGACGGCCCTGTCGATTGCCAGGCAAAGAATTACAAACTAACGAAAGCACTTCCTAGTATTGACGACTAAATCGTCCTACTGCAACACTGCAACACCGTTTGTGTTACAGAAAGAAAAAAAAGCTTCTAACTTTGAAAACAGCCAAAATCTGCAAACAACGCGTACACATTCGTCGGGTTCGAAAATCGAACACTTGCATGGCAATGTTTTGTTGGGCGCCTTTGAAAGTAGTGCCACTGTGACGCATCGACCAATCAACGAAAAGCATAAGATCGCGTGGTGGCAGAGATATATTCGTGGAATAGAACTCTGCCTGGGAGATTGGACCCTCCTATGAATAAACAAGCAGCCTATCGGCTGAGATAGCTCCGCTGTTAGCAATGCACATTTCAATTAAAGAACTGAAGACATCATTAGAAAATGAACAATATGAATAGTATCAAAGCAATCGGACTTACAGTTTTTAACAAGAAGTCGAAAATATCACTTTTTACCAAAAATTACAAAAATATTCACCAAAATAAATAAATTAGAGAATTGAAGATATCATCACAAAACGAACAAATCTGA